GTGAAGTAGAGGAAGGGGATCAAGGGAGAGGAAGGAGGGATGGGAAAAGGCAGGAATGGTATGAAATTGACCAAGCAATGCTATATACTTATATCAATATACCACACTGAATCCCACTTTTATGTATATCTATATATCATTAATTAAAAACAAAAAAAAACAATAAATAAATGAAAGATCAGTAGAGTAGAAGAAAGGAAACTAGGGGAGGCAGAAGAAGAGGGAATGCAGAAGTATTAAGGGCTAAAATGCAACAATCTATCTTCCAGGCATGTATCTATGTTAAATAAATCCCACTGTTATGTATATCTATAATGCACTACCAAAAACATTGAAAAAATTAAAGCTTCATGAAACTGGAAATAGTATAGGGGATAACTATTAAATAAGTAGAATTCTCATTCACCTAAATGTAATTTTCATAATTAGAACATATGTATTTAGATCAATATATTTCCCCTATTCATTAGCAGAAATTCTCTTGGTTTGTAGATTCTTTATCTAGCTAATTCCTCTTCTATTCAATGGAACTTGCTGGATATGGTTTCAGTTCCTTTTTGCAGGAAAATTTAAAAATGACTCATTGTACTCCAAATTCTATATCTACTACTTCTAAAAAATAAAGATATATCCAACTAGCTGTAAATGTAAATCCTCCAAAATGATTCACTGTTCTTTCAGCATTGCTTTGAATTATATGATCTCAAAGAGACTCATAATCTCTAGCATAAATACTTATTAATAATGTCATAGTCTGATATGTGGCCCAAACTAATTATTTTCTAGAATTTTAAAGGACTGAATAAACTTAAATTGTAAAGTAGAAATTGAATCTAAGACTAAATCAATAATAATTCAAATTCTAAGTATCCAATTTGTCTTTGAAACTTGGTTGAATAAGCATAAACCACTTTCTAATACCACATGAAGAGTTAGTTCTATAAAATCTTCATAAAGGACCAAGTTCTGTGTAACAGATAAAACAATACTCTTTTATTTGCTCTATAGCTGGTCTCCAATAATGTAAACCAGAAGTTTCAGAAGTTCAAGTAAAGGCAAAGAGGTCAAATTCAGGCAGAAAATATGTCATTTTATTAAACACAAGGAACTGCAATATTTCAATTCTGTGTTCTATACTTAGGACAGCTTAAACAAGTGATTTCAAATTTATGTTGCTAGGAAATATATGGGTCAGGTTCTCCCAGGAAAGATCATCAGGGCATATCCACATTTGGGGTGTAGTCGGAATGTTACCTACAATGGTGGCAATTGTTAACCCACGGCAGAGCTAAGCTGTGCCATATTTTTTTTTTTTTTTGCCAACCTCTAGTCTTGATGCAAACATGAAAAATGTTCAGTGAGACTGCATTCTATCTACTTAGAAATCAGAGTTAATAATTTTATTACAGATTTCTCTCTTTCACCATATCTGGATACTCCCTCCCCGCCCCCTCCCCCACATTCAAGCTGAGAATAATCCTTCCACTGTTTACATAAAACCACCGAAAACATAAATACTAGACATGTTGTAGACAGATATAAATTGAGTGGACCTAGTTGGAGGCATAAGCCATATTCTTAAACTCCAAGTAGCCAACACTATCTTTCCCCAGGAGTGGTCAAAGACTCGTAGGCAGTGGGATACCCTGAGCATACACTTTTGTTTTGGTTGGTTCCCGGAGTAATACATCCATATTATTGAGAGGATTGGGTTTTACAGTACTAGGCATTGTAGTTAGCACATCAACTACTCCCAATTGAAGCCAACCCCAGGCTTAGTTTTAAGTCCTCTTAGGTGTATTGACAGCTTGAAAATATGAGTAGAATTTGAGTGGAGTTGACAGATTAATGGACCTCAGAGGAGCACAGAAATCCAGCCACAACCACACACATCTTGTTACTATTTCTGTTCCAGAGACACAGCTGATAAGAATAAGAGATGTATGTGTTTTTTTTTTTCCCCTGTCTCTGAATATTTCAAGCACTGAAACTTAATTATCACAGCATCCGTCCTTTTCTCCACAATTGCTTTGGGACAGTCTTCATTTTAACATGAAAGTAGTATCTTAGAAGTATCGAAGGAGGAGGGAAATCAATAAAATTCACATGGAGCCACTGGTTTTAATTTGCATACACAATTGTTTAAATTTGTGATGCTGAGACCTCAAATTACAGTAGGAAATACGTCCTTAAGATAAAGGGAAGACATATTGACTTGAAGAGATTCTAAAGGGATTGGGGGAAAACCCAAAACCCAGCGGATCTTCTAAATAAGCAAAGAAAAAATAAATGACCTAATAAAGATAAAATGTTTGGAATAAAGATGAATATTTATTGGAGCCATTCATTTTTCCCTCGACTCAAAAAATCTGTTTTAGCTGAGACATATTATAGTAATATAACAAACCCAATTAAAATTAATTAAATCCTAGTATACTTAAGCATCACATATACATTTTCATGGTAAAATGAAAAAAAAAAACAAAATATTTTCAAGTTAAACACAAAAAACCCCCAAATCAATGTTTTTTATAATTTTCCTAGTTAATTTTGATTTTGCTTGAGATTTAACCAGAGGCTACAAAATAGGCATATTTTTATTAATCAAAAGTAGAAGTATTGTCATGCAAATAGGATTGACTCACCACATTTCCATTTGCAGTATTTTATAAGCTTCCAATTCTATGTCCAACATTACAATTAAACTGGATGTTTTGTTTGTTAAATCTTTTGGTATTTCTAGTCAACTGGGAATTAACAAGACTTATCATTTAAAATAATTCTATTTATTGCTAAAGTTGAAAAAATATAGTTAATTTATCCTCACTCTTTTCAGACATTTTTCATAGGGCAGAATTGTTTCATTCAAAGAAAACTTCAGAATTTCACTAGTTGAAATAAATGAGACCCTACAATGGAAGTGTAGCAATTAAGAGTTGGCTTGAAATATAGCTTGAAAACACTATTGCTGTCCATTTCTCTTGTATTACTGATATGGAAACAAATACACAAAGGCATTCAATGGCTTAACCAATTTACTAATCTAAGCAATGAGTGTATATATATTGTCTTCATATTTCTTGAATTCCAAACACTCATGGATTTATTTCTGGGTCCTCTGTTCTGTTCCATTGGTCTATGGTTCTGTTTACATGCCAATACCATGCTGTTTTTGTTACTATGACTATAATATGTTTTGCAATCTATTATTGTCTTGTATTTGGCATTGCTCAATTTGTTCAGGATTGCTTTGGCTATTCATGTTCTTTTGTATTTTCATGTTCTTTTTAGGATTTATTTCTAGTTCTGTGAAAAAAAATTATTGGTATTTTAATGGGAATTGCTTTGAATCTATAGATGACTTTGGGTACTATGACCAATTAAGCTATATCAATTCTCCTAATCCATGAACATGAGAGGTCTGTCCACCTTCTCACCTTCTAATGCCTTCTTCATTTTCTTTCTTCAGTGTTTTGTAATTTTCATGTAGAGGTCTTTCACATCCTTAGGCTTATTTCTGAGTATCTTATTATTTTTGTGTGTGGTTATTGTGAATGTGATTGATTTTCTGATTTCTTTCACAATGAATTCATTATTGATGTTTAGAAAGCTACTGATTTTTTGTATGTTGAGTTTTTAGTCATGGTACTTTACATAGTTTATCAGTTTAAAAATCGTTTGGTGAATTAGTTAGAATTTTCTATGCATAGAATCATGCCAATAGCAAACATATAACTTGACTTTCTCCTTTACTGCTTGCATTCTTTCTTTTTCTTTTTCTTGCCCAACTGCTCTGGCTAGAATTCCAAGTACTTTATTGAATAAGAGTGGTGAGATTAGACACACTTGTCTCTGATATCAGAGGAAATTTTGAATGTTGAAAGTAGTTGAAAGAGAGCATGGTTCACTGAAAAGTCAGATGCAATGTAAATGTGCAAACTTTTGTTAAGAAAAAAAGAGTCATAATAAAGAAGCTTAAATTTTATATGTCAAGGATTTCAGGATGGTTAACACTGAAAAAGCTACATAATTAAAGCACTTTGTATGCTGAAATGATTTTTCCCACAAGTTTCTTCCTATTACATTTCCATAAATACCATGCTCCTTACCATATCCCAGCAGCTGTTACTTTTTTCCATTTATTAAAAAAATGGGAAGGAGAAAAGATCTATTATGCATCACCTATGTCATAGAATTTAATGATTCCATGATAATAGGTATATAATATCATAGCCGAATAAAGGATGATTTAATTCATACTTATACGAAAAGTAGTATTTTAGAGTTGTTTTCACCCAGATCTGATCAGAATTTCATCTTAAAATAGGGGTTTGTGAGTACTTTACCAAGTAAATGTGTTGTTATTTTCTATAGCTCAATTAACTATATGTGAGGCTTCTCTTATATAAATTTTAAGTAAACATTATTATTGTGAAATTAAACTTACTTGTCACTTGATAAATGAGTTGTGTCTGCTTGAATTGACCAGAGGATTTCAAGAGTTCTGTTCCTTTATTTCTACTATACACAACCCAAAACATTGGTGGGAAAAAGATTGCCTTTACCTATTAAGATGTGAGTTCCTTTACTTGGTTTTGCTACTACTTCCCTTGATCATATTTTTATTTTACTTATTTTACAGTATTTTGACTATTAGATCAGTTTCATGAAAAAATATTCTAAGAAAGAACTGTTAATAAAAACTAATAAATAAACAAAATAATAATAATAGTTATTATTTTTAGGGTTTCTTTTATGCCAAATATGGTTGCATGTGCCTTTCTAAGAAATCTTCTTTAATCTGTAACACAATTCTATAGAGATCTTGATCACAGACAGATGAACAGGATTTGAACCTGAGTATATACTATTCCACACCCCATGATTTTTACCTGTATTCTCCATAACCCTCTAATTCTATACTACATGGTTGTAGTACTTGGAATAATACTGACATTATTGAAATTTATTATTTTAGGAATATACAGGATGATTCTCACCTTTGACCAGTCACCCATTCTCCATACATAGCATTTTGAATAATCTTCACAGTCTTCAGCTTCTCGGGGTCTGGTAGAGAGGACACATTTCTTTCTTGGGTTAGTGCATCGCACAGTCCGATGGCGTACACCTTTTCCACACTTGACAGAGCACTGAAAGGTGACATGGGAGATGTGAAAATAGTTGCTGGTTAGCAGACACAGACCATAGACTAATTTTTGTTAAGTGTTTGGTGTTTCTAACCATCTATAATGGGACCATGATTCACATAAAAACCAGGAAAAACAATTAAGGACAAGTTTATGGGTAACTCCATGCTGAGAAGCTATATCAAATACCAGATGGAGTTTAAGATAGAGTGTTAGAAAAAAAATGGATTCAAGAAGACCACAAGGTGAGGTGTTGCATGTCTATAATCCCAGTGGCTCTGGAGGCTGAGGCAGGAGGATCAGGAGTTCAAAGCCAGCCTCAGCAAAAACCAAAGTGCTAAGCAACTCAGTGAGATCCTGTGAGAAATATACAAAATAGTGCTGGGATGTGGTTCAGTGGTTGAGTGCCCCTGAGTTCAATTCCCGGTACTACCCTCCCACCACAGGAAAACCAACAAACTCTCAACCATTGTATAGAAAGAATCAATTTAAGAAAGACAAATAAGTGGCTGGGGCTGGGGCTCAGTAGTAGTGAACTTGCCTGGCAAGTGTGAGGCACTGGGTTTGTTTCTCAGCACCACATAAAAATAAATAAAATAAAGGTTTATCAACAAATAAAAAAAAATTTTAAAAAGACAAATAATATACCACGATCAAAATGTAAAGTACTGCCATATGAGGGGTTGTCAGCCTGTAATCCCATTGATTCAAGAGGCTGAGGCAGGAGGAACATAAGCTTAAGGCCAGCCTCAGCAATTTAGTGAAGCCCTAAGCAAGACCCAGTCTCAAAATCAAAAATGCAAAGGGCTGAAGATGTGGCTCAGTGATAGAGTTCAATATCCAAGACCAGAAATCAAACAAACACAAGAAAAGTAAAATACCAATCTTCAATTAATATCAGATTTCTCTATACAATGATGTAATGAATATCTTCATTTAACCTAAATAAAGGTTAGTGAAAAATGACCATTTCTCACAGAATGCCATTTTTTTTTAAACCAACATTTCTGAAAACTAAAAATAGAGAAAATATTACTAAAAGGGGACAATTTATTTAAATAAATAATCATACACATCTGTCGATTATTATTATAAATGGTTGTGTGGATTGAAAATACAATTTGGTTCAAAAGCAATTCAGGTAATTTCACAAATATCTGATTCTTGATGTTGGTGAGATAACAGATTAGAGCATACATGTATATTTCACGTATTCTGGGTACAAATTACTCTCTGATTTCTATTTGTGCTCCCGATTATGGAACATGCACAGATCATCCCTACTTTTCAATGGTAGGCTCAGTGAAGACCTGGATGTGGACACCAAAACTGTATTGGGTTGGGAGGAAGGCAGTGGTTGGAGTATAGCAGAAACAGTTAATTGAAATTCCAGTTTATATTTGTTTCTGAAAAAGGCCCAAAGAAAGAGTTGCAGGACATACTTAACAATGATGTCACATAGGGATAACCATGCTTGTGCCCAGATCATTGCTCAGAGCTGCAGTCAGAGGAAGAAACTCAGCTAACCACTCCACTCACTTTTATAGGTTTTAGCAACAGTTGTGTTGCTGGAAGCTTGCACCTGGAACTGATGACATTTGAAATACGCTGAATCTTGCACAAGTTAGTAATTGTCTCATAATTTTTAGTTTGCATTTAACTATATTGGGCTTTAGAGTGGATCATATATTGTGATTTGGCATTTTAATCCTTATATTTTTAGGTTTTATGATTAAAATTATCTCTGATTCATATAATCAAGTTTTAAATTAAATGAAGACAGACTTTTTAAAATTGGCATATTCCATTGTGACACATTACTTCTCCTTAGCTGTTGCTAAAAATCTGTATTGTAGACTATTTCTGACCTATTTCTTCCTAAAGAGCTTGTAAAAATGTCACAGTTGGGCTGGGTGTGAGGTACTTTTGTTTCTCTCATGTTCTTGTGAATCCTCTCTCCATATTGAACTGATTCATTTCAGTGTAAAGCCTGATATGGCATTCATTTTCAAAAGGTCACATTATAAATGAAAAAAAATGTGTTGAACACAAAGCTAAAACCAAGGAAAGAAAGAAAACAGAAAAATGARCTCTCTGCAAATGTGCTTTCAGAGAGGTTGAATTACTTAAAGAACACTTAGAAAGTGCAGTATTTATGTCACTCAATCTTAAAAGAGTAGCTACTTACTTTTCTATGTATCATTTTCAGATCCTATCTAATAGTCAAGTAGATAGGTGATTTTAGTATGTGTGTGCATACATGTATGTGTCTTTGGACCTGGGTATGAGTATAAATATGTAAGAGGTTTTGTTTGGATTTATGCACCCACACACTCAACACTAAAATACTCCAGAGAAGTCAGTAAATAGATGTAATGAGTGACAATTATTATTATTATTATTCAAAGATATGCATCATGGTAATAGAAAATAAAATACTCTTGATCAGCTGAACTACACCTGTAGGTTGTAGAAAACAAGTTAGTGTAAGTGAGTGAGACAGTTCTGGTTGAGATCCAAGCTCTACTACTTAGGTAGGACTTTGGGTAAGCTAATTCTCTGAGTTGTATTGCTATCATTTATAAAATGGTGAATGCTATTAAGTTTCCTGCATTCTTGGTCATTGAGTATACATGATGCAATAAATAAGAAGTAAAAGCATACTCACTGCTCTTATAAGGTGATTGCTAAATGTTAATTTCCTTTTTTCTTTCCCTTTTAAATGTTTGGCAATATGAAATGAGTCAAATGTGTATTTTAATGTGTGTGTAGTTGAGAGTATATTCACAGTATATAAATGAGGTAGCAAAATTCTAAAATGTATATAAAATTTTCTATTGATTGTTTTATAATATTTATAAAATAAGGAGTAAATATCTGTCTTTTTTCAAAATTATTTATGTTCATTCCTTTTATTATCAGTGAAAGTAATGCATAATATTAAAAACATCACCTCTGATGCAGAGAGATTCTGGATATGATACAATATGACTTTGTACAACAAAAGGGTCAGAGAAAGAAAAGGGAAAGGAATGGGTTGTGTACTGCACCTCGGACCACACTCCTGCCTCCCACACGGTCATGCAGTCCTGTCCCTCACAGCGCTGGGCAGAGGCAGGCTTAGGCCCAGTGCAATCTCTCTCCCGTGCTCTAATGAGAGTTCCATTGCTCAGTTGCTGGGTACAGGCCACCTGTCTGCTCTGCATGCCTTTTCCACAAGTTCGTGAACACGTGGTCCATTCTGTCATCATCCATCTAAAAGCAAAGCAAAAGTGACTGGAAACATGCTAAAAAATATCCACTGCCATACATCTAACATGTTTAGAATTGGCAGAAAGTTACCTTCAACTTTGTGTGATTTACTAACATTAGCCTTTTATCCAAGATACCTATGATGTCTATTGCCTTAAATTCTCCATGTGTCTTATCTACAGGCTTGTTATTAGAATGTCAAAGTGTATGTCACAATCTGTCCAGGTCATCATACATGTTAAATTTTACTGCTCATCAAATTATCCCATCAAAGCACCTTTAAGTATAAAACTAGAAATATCCAGGAATTATTCCTATTCTTTGCATTTCAAATATTTACAGTAGCCCCTTGTGTTAGGTGTTACAACCATGAACATTTACAGAAAGAGAAATTTCTCTTACCAAAGGATGGAGGCATACCCTTCCAGAGAGAGGTATATAATGATATAATATTCAACTGCTGAGGTGAAATGAGGTGAATGAAGTAGGCATTGTTACATTGTCTTTGGCTACCATGTGAAGGCAACTTAAACACAAGCACTGAGATACCAAGATAGTTTATCTGATAAATGAAAGACTATGTGACTAAGGGGCAGGTAGTGTTTAAGCATGGTGTTATAGTTTGGATTCAAAATGTCCCCCACAGGTCATGTGCTAAAGACTTAAGTCACCAGCTTGCAGTGTTACTGAGAAGTGGGGTAAGGATGGAGGAGGTGGGTTACTGAGGGTAACTGAGGCCATATCTTGTCTGCACCCCCCAACCTTGTCCTAGTTACTGGCCATTAGGAGGTGGGCAGGTTTGCTTTCCTGTACCCTTCTGCCATGATGTTCTGCCTCACCACAGGCCCAGAAACAATGGAGCCACCAACCATAGACTGAAACCTCTGAAACTAACCCCAAATAAAATTTTTCTCCTTTTTTTAAATGAGTATTTTACCACAACAATAAAAATCTAACAGAGAAAATCAGTACAAGAAGTGGAATCATTGCTGTGACTAGATGTGACCTTGTGGCTCAGAAGCCTTTGGAACTGTTTGCAGGAGGGGTTTGGAAATGTTTGGACATGCAGGTCAGAGGATCCCTAGAATGTTGTAAGTGGAGCTTAACAGATGATTCTGGTGCGAGCTTGGAAGATCAGAAAGATACTAGGAAAGCTGACTCACTCGTTTGGAACTTGGAGTAGGGCAAAAACAAAACAAACCAAAATAAAAAACAATCAACAAAACAAAAAACTTGTTTGCATATTATCCATGCCCTGAGACTATGTGTGAGTCTGAGTTTAAAGGTGAAGGACTAGTTTTATCTGGCAGAGAAAATTTCAAGGCAGCACAGCATTCAGGCAGTGGCATGGATGTGGCTTGCTGCATTTAGCCAAGTTTACAGTGAAAGCAAGAAGTAGAGTGGAGAGATCTGAAAACTTGCAATTTGACCAGAAACACATATAAAATTCTGGTCATGGAAGTTGTGGTTGCTGAAGAGATTAGTACCATAAAAAAGAAGCCAAGTACTTTGCACTAAATAATAGGAAAAATGTCTGTGAGAACTGGCTAGTGATTGGCGAGGCCCTTCATTCCACTGTTTCAGCCTCAAGGGTGTAAAAGTGCAAACTTGTTTGAAAGACTTCTTTGAAAAGAGAGCCCCTGGGTGCCTTGTACACACAAGGCTGCCTAGGAAGATGTTTTTCCAGGAATCATTTCATCATACTCAGCCATACAAGCACTCAGAGGTTTCTGCAGTTACAGTGAAAGAGGCTACTGCTCCCACTGGCAGCAGACATTGGCATCCTCCACATGGTGCTAGTTGTGCAGGTATGCAGACTCACAGAGTCAGGAAGGCTTCCACCTAGATTTCAAAAGAAGGCCTGAAAGGTCAGGCATTATGTGACAGGATCTGAGTCCCTGCGTGCAGGCCCTAACAAGATGATATATAAAACTGTAAAAGTAAAGTCCAAGCTGCAATGAAGACCCCAGGAATTTGGAGATACAAAGAATGCAGATACCAAGGAAAGCCAAGGCCAACACAGAGACCATGTAGGTTGCTGTAGGCAAGGCCATAGGGTGAGATTATAAGTGCTTTGGAGCTCACACAATGCTAACATGTGCTACAAGATTTAAGGCTTCCCTTGCTGGGGTTTGGTTTTGTTTTGGTCCCATCCCTTTTTTTATGCCACTTTTGGAATGTGACTATTTATCCTGTATTATTGTTTTTAATTTTTTTCATAATTAAGAGTTTGAGTCTAAGAAGAGTTTCATTCTGAGAAGAGACTTCKGACTTGGACTTTGAAGCAGTGCTGGAATAGTTAAAACTTTGGGAACTCTTAGAGTCAGACTGGATGTATTTGCATTATGAGATGGACATGAACCTTTGGGGGCTAGAGGAAGAATGTTATGTCTTGCTTCTAAAATATCTCCCAAAGACTATGTGCTAAAGGCTATGGTCAAAAGCCTGTGGCATTAATGGAAGGTGGGGCCTGGTTTAAGGAGGCTGGTCACTGGGAGCATGTCATTAAAATATACATTTTGTCCCTGGCCGGCCTCTGTCTCTCTTTTTCTTTTTCTGCTTCACTGTGAGGTGAATTTTGCTTTGCTCAGCCAAGCCCTTCCACCATTATGCCTCACAACAAGTCCAAAAACAAAGGAGGTAGCTGAAACCTCTGAAACTGTGAGCCATAATTTAATTTTTTTCTCCTTTGTGTTTCTCGGGTATTTTGTCACAGCAACAAAAAGCTGACTAATATACAGGTATATCTGAGACAACATGATGATTCATATCCCAGGTAGAATGGAGTCAATGGAGCAAGATTTCAGCATGCTATTCAGAATGACATGCAGTTTAAAACTTATGAATTGCTTATTTCTGGAATTTTCCATTTAATATTTTTGAACTGCAGTTGACTGTGGGTATTTGAAATCTAAATGAAACCACAGATAAGGGATGATTATTATAGTATTTATTGTATATACATTTTGGTATATTTTTTAAAATTTATTATTGTACATACTTTTCTCTTGTTTCTTCTTCTACTTGTTTGGAAATCTGAACTTATTCCCCCAAATACTTTCTATTTTCACCTCATGCCATTTGTTCAAGTAGGGTCCTCTGCCTAGATTCTTGACTACCAGCTCTAAACCCCTTCCTCCCAAGATGACTTCTCCCTCCAGCCAACAGGGTCTGCTACTTTCCTCTGCCCTCTATCACCTGGCTTGTAGTTCTCATAGGGACTTACAAGATACTCCCTGGGGAGGTGGAGGAGCTTGAAGGCTATTGTTTTAATTAGCTTTTCATTGCTGTGATCAAAATAGCTGACAAGAACAACTGACAAGAGGGGCTTGCCATTTGAGAGGCTTTAGTCAATAGCAAACTTCATTTATCTGGGCTTAAGGTGAGGCAGCACATGATGAGCGAAGACCCCAAAGGAGGAAAACTACTCTTCTCATGGCAATAGTAGAGACAGTGGGAGAAGAAGCCACAGAAAAGATGCCCCTTTCTAGAGCATCCTCCAAAGACCCACCTCTTCTAGCCACACCTGACCTGCCTACCATCACTACCTAGTCCGTCCTTTCAAACTAGGATGAACTAACTAGGTTATAGCTCTAATAATCCAATCATTTTACCTCTTAATATTCCTGAATTAATAGGAGTGTGGGGGGAGATAATGCACATGTAAACCATAACAGTGAATTAAGGAAATTTGACCCTCCTTTCCATTTAATATATAAATTCCTCAAAATCATAGATCAAAGCCTCGTTCTTTGCATCCATAACATTTTCCATATAATAGAATTTCTAAAAACATTTCTTGGCATGGAAATTAGATTTGTCTGTTTTACAGAGATAGTCTCAATTGCTCCAAATTTGCCTACTCCAATATTCCTAGCAATAATCTACATTTTGAGCAGACATACCCCCTAACAATCTAGTTTGTTCATCTTTAAAATGGCTTAATTTTAAATGATTTAATGTTTCCAGTTCTGAAAAAGGAAATATTCACATTAATATTTGTAATCCATTACTGAGTCTTACAGGTTCTTGTTTGCTGACCTATCATTTTGCTTTGGAGTATTCCCATGGATTTTGCCTAACGTGCATTTAATCTTCCAAATTCAGCTCTATTTTCACACAAGAATATTCCAGAAATATTCACAATTTAAATTGATCTGTGTACCTTTTCCTCCAACTATAGAATCCAGAAGATACTATTGAAAACAGAAGTTTTAAAATTTCATGGAGTCTCATATTTTTAAAATAAATCATTTTTTTTCAGATCCTTCATATAAAAATATGCTTTTTATAGTCCTTGAAAACTGCTCAAAAGTAAGAAGTAAATGTAGACTGCATTCTAATTGTTAGGTGCAGGACAGGCTGAACTAAGTTGTCTGCAGGGCAGGCTGAACAAATGTTAGCTATAGGATAACTCATGCACTCAAACCCCCCTCTGGTCCTTTATCACCTGTTTGCATCAAGTCTGAACACTCAAGGGCACTCAAGGCTGAGCACTCAACCCCCCCCCCCCATTCAAGGCTGAACACTTAACCCCCCTTATGCCAACAAGGCAGCTTGCAGACCTAGAGACCCCATTAGATTTGGGCTATAAAAACTCCCTTCTGTTGGGCCTCCCTCTCTTGCTCTCTCTGTCTCTCTCTTTCTTCTCTTGCTTTTGCTCTCCATTTCACTCTCTCCTCTCTCTCTCTCTCTCTCTCTCTCTCTCTCTCTCTGCCCCCCCCCCACTTTATTCTCTCTTTCCCCTCTATTTCTTTCTCTCTCTTTTTTTCCTCTTTTTCACTGCTGCAATAAAGACCTCTTGGTCGCTCCGAGTGTTGTGGTCACTTTCCTTTCACTAATGAAATTATAAATTTAGAATTCACCTAATTTGCAATTATCCCATTTCCTGATCCTGAAGATGCCATATTCTCAAAAGATTTTTTCCTATTGTATCAGTCCATTTTATATTAGGCACATATGGTTCCATCAGGCCTTTTGGTAATTTCTTCAATACATGTGAATGGAAATTTGAAAACTTACTTCTAGGGAAGAGAAGGGAAAAAAGCAAGAGAAATAAAAGATATGCTCTGCCAGCAAGACTTGGAAACCTTTCCTGTGATGATCCTTAATAATTGCCCATGTCGTTTCTTGCTTTCCATTATTTTGGCTAACCTCGCTGACATTACTTCTTGGTGATTCAAAATATACTGCCTTCCTTTCCAAAGGAAGGAAGACAATAATCTCTAGGAAAAAAAAAAAAAAAGAAAAACTTCCAGTCTCCAGCTGCAAAAATTTCTCACTCAAAAATGTACTGACCTTTTAAAAACTATTCATTTTACCAAGTCATTATCAAGGCACTTTTCCTCAAGAGAGCTGAAGTTTGTGATTGAATAGCAAATAACAGGTACTGTACACTCTGCTCCCTCACAGACCAAGTTAGGAAGTGACCAAGATGTTCTGTTCCTTAAATCCAGTTCTTCAAAGATTACTGAGGCATCAGAAAAAGCTCTTCCATAAAACTTAAAACATTAGGTGGTATAAATAAAACAAATGGTTTTATTTCACATAGGTTTTGAAATATGTTAACAAATATTCCACATAGATTATTTAGCATTTAAATATATGTTAAAAGTGTGCACCAGGACTGGGGTTATGGCTCAGTGGTACAGCGCTCGCCTAGCACGCGTGAGGCGCTGGGTTCAATCCTCAGCACCGTATAAAAATAAATAAATAAATAAAGGTATTGTGTCCAACTACAACTAAGAAATATTTAAAAAAAGAAAAAGTGTGCACCACTTGTGTACGATGAATTGAAGAGCATTCTGCTATCATGTGTAACTGATTAGAACAAAAATAAATAAATAAAAATAAAGGCACAGAACATTAAAAAGTGGTCAATTTTGTGTTGTGGTACTACTTCAATTAATAAAATATACACAGAAACACAAAAATACACATTTCTTTAGGTTCATAGATGTACTTTACATAAATACACAGCTAATTGTCAAGGATACCATCCAAGCTGGGAGCAGTAATAACAGAAAAGGGATCACTAAGGAAAATTTGCTTTTAAATGTATGAATTTTTATAAAAATATATTCATGTTTTAACTGTTTAATTTGAAATAAATTATTTTAATAGAAAAAAAATGATATGAACAGAGAGAGTTTTTGGAAATAGTGATAATTCCAATAATCCAGTACAAAAACCAAAAGTTCTACTTAAGATATGTCCAGACCTGAATGGAAAGGCCTCAAAGACCTGCCTGTTGAAAATAATAATAACCTAGGTTATCTATGTAATTACTATCCTGCATTATAAAAGATCTTTACTAGTTCACCAGTTTTGGAGTTGGGATTAAAACCATAACATGGGAACATAGAGTATGCCTGATATTATTAAAAGTACATTAATGTTCTTTTGTATTTTGCATAACATTTTATGTCTCATTATTCTCTTCTTTTAGGAGGATATATTTGCATGGGCATAGGATTGTTAGAGCAAGAGTGAAAACGAAAGAAAAACTGATAAGCAGCTTTTAATATTTAAAATATATTGAATCTAAAGTAAAGCAACCCCTGAAATTTGAACATTGTAAAAGAAGAAAGTACTTTTCCAAAACCTTTTAAGCGTCCATTAACATGGCATGAACTAGATCAAAAGAGCTTAAGAACTGAGTTTTACAATGAGGCAGAAATAGCAATGACTGAAGATAGAAAAGAAGGGGCGGGGAAGAGAGGAGACAAGAAAACCAGAATTGAACATCTACCTGGATGACACTCCAGAGATCATCAAAGAGTATTCCAGAGATTATTTAAGAAAGAAAAGTGCAAATATGGGTTAACTTGCAATTTTGCTGTTCCTGCACTTTTATTCCTTCACCCTGTCCCATACTTACTCATTGTGATAGGAGGTTATAAAGTTTATATTAGTTATAGATGAATACAAAGCTATAAACTCTTTGCATATTTGAGTTCTGCAGTGTGTAAATTCACCGTGACTCCATTGCAGAAGCTATTGTTAAGGGGAGATCAATCCTTTATTTAACTTCCTAAAAATTCACAACCATGCCTAACTGACTGAGCCTCAACAAATTCCTGAATGTCAGATAAAATAAATAATGTTGTTACCATTCTCAAGGAATCAGTCCAGCCTCACACTCTTTATCATCTCATTCCTAAAAAATTTAGGGCTTTTTAACAGTAGTGCTGAGTTCTACTCAAGTTCAACATTAATTTTTATGAGATAACATGTAAATTTTCAGTAGTCCTGTGATGGCAGCTGTAGTGGCTTCTCCAAAATTAAACTCAGGTTCATTCTTGTCTCTGCTTCATCTTCTTGTTACTAAGGCATGGTCTTCCTCCTCCTAGCCCACTCTCAGCTGCTTGGCATAGATATTTTGTCTCCTACTTAGGAGTCTCTTGCCTGCTTTCCTAATACTTATTGGGAAAATAAGGAGCTGGGTCAGAAACCCGGAAGTTTGCACTGAGAACTAGAGGAGAGGAAGTGAGGAACTAGCTTCAGGAAACAGAAGGACAACTCTGTCCCTATTATTCTGCAATTATTCTGGTCCTGCCCCATCCTACCTTGATTTATTGACCTCTGGAAAGTTCTAATGTATAATTTCAGAGAACATAAAAGCAAATATCTAAATTCAACTAAATAACCAGATTTTTGAAGAGGTGATCTACAGGTTACCAAGTAATCTTAATTAATTCTCACCGCAATCTCCCCATCCCCATCCCCAGTTAAGTAGTTGTATTTACACTATGGAGAACACAAAGTTGTAAATATTAGCCTTACATTCTTAGACTTTGCTTCTTTAAAAGTTCACATTGTGGTACATATCCCTTTGTAAGCTAAGAAAATGTGATTCTAATAATATTCTGAGTATGCTTTAGGGATAGCAATATAATAGCCAAACAATGCTTGCAGGGTTGCTGGCATAGGGTACCGTGTTTGACATGGCTGCTCGTTGCACCTCCGAATCTGTGGCTCTGGTTTTGTTAAGTGTTTGCATTTCTTGTTGTCGACGATGCTGATATTCTTGCTCATGATTTTTGTGCAGGACACCGTTGTCTTCCTTTCTCCTAAAAATTGCAAATTAATATATAAAGCAATGTTATCATAGTCATTTATGAAATGAATTTATATATTCATAGGCTTGGAATTTTCATAGATATTTTAAACTAATTTTAAGTTCCATCCATGAAGATAATACTATTTATAATTTACATAACAAAATGTATTTCCAGGCTTAAGAATTTTTTTCTCCTTAGAAAGTAAATTGCAAGCATTTATATACAAAGTGATAGTAGCAACCTAAGTGAACAAGAGGTTAATAGAAAGTTTTTATTGTAATAAACTGTGGTTGTCTTTTAGCATTAAGTGTTTGAAAACCATGTATGTGGGCTGGGGAGAGAGCTCAGAGGTAGAACACTTGCTTAGCATGCATAAGGCCCTGGGCTCAATCCCTAGCACCCAGGAAAACAAAACTGTATGTGCATAAGGCRTTAGGAATCCTCTTTCCCTAAGAGGCCTTTTTTTGAAAGCACATAAAAAGCACACAGATGTGTGTGCACTTTGAATCATCTTGTTGTGCATCACCAGAGTTCGTTCTGTAGTGAGTGACAGGAAGCAAGCTTACTTTAATCATAACTCAGAACTTAACTCCTGAGAATTCTAGACCCTGAGAATTCCAGAAATGTTTTTCTCTGCAATGATTGTTATTTTTTCTGAGAAAAATCATAGGCCTCTTACCATTTTTCACTGGTTTTTAAAAAACTCCCATTTTGTACTTTCTCTGCTATGGTAGAAATTAGGAGGTAAGAATGACTATTTGCCTGTATATTCATTTTGCTTACAGCTCTATAATCACAATTCCTTGATAATACTATTATTCTTGACTTAAAGTCTAGTAAATATGTACTAAATTCTGTTTCTCCATTAAAGTCTTATATGTAAATAACCTGAGTAAAAAAAAGACAACTAAATAAGATTTAATAACCTATTTTAATTGATGGTTTGACTTTATAAAATAATTAAATCAGCCAACAATTTTAAAGTCAGGTTGGTCACGAAGGATTATGAAGAACTCAGAAGTCTTCTGGGTCTGTATTGAAAGGCCTGTTAGTTAGGGTCCTATGACTGTCATGCGATGGTAATTAGGAAGCTCAGAGCATTCATGCTGGTCATGCCAAACATGAAAGGCTAGGCTGGCGCCAGAGAGGTCACTCTGTCACTCAGTTAACAGAAAAAGGAGGCTGGCATCAGGAAGGAGGAAAGAAGAGATGTAGAATGAGAGTTATTTTCATTTTGAAACATTACTTACTTCAATGAGTGATTGAAAGAAAATGGGGCAGCCAAGTAGAAGGCAAAAGAACAGGTGCAATTCAGGATCCTTTTTTGATTTTCATCTCAATAATACTGCACACAGCCTCACCACTATTCATTGTGTTCAAACATGACAACATATATACGTATACACATGTGTATTAAGTAGCAAGTATATTTGTGATTATTATTGCATGTCTTGTTATGAAAACCTTCAGTGTTTTCTGTCTTCTAACAGCACAGTGTTGTCCAAATGGAAAATTCCTGAATTGCAGTACCTTTGGCCAAGGACCTCATGCACAAAGGGCCTGCCTGAGGGCCAATAGCTACACTCTCAGAGGTCCTCTTACATTACTGATGAAGCTCACAAAACAAAGTGACTTGATGCTAACTTGTAGAGAGAAGTCACCTTTCATGCCCAGGTACACACCTAGGGAATTCCTTTGCAGATCAAGAAGGGCAGTGTGTGATACTTGACTTAATCATAGATTCTCAATGTCTATCAATGTCAAACTGCTAGAGAAACAAAACCAACTTTGTCTCATTTAGATTTTTTTCTTTCTTTTTTAACACATAGAGAAAACAGACCTCATAAGGTATAGGTTACTTAAATGTAAAAAATAAAAGGGTTTTGGTTACCTTCCTTCTGGCTTCCTGTGCTTCAGGGACTGGGTTATGATTTTACACATATATTAAGTAAATATACAAATTTTGTTTAAYGATAGCATATGAGTAGTAGTTATATGTTATTATGATGAATACTGAAACTACAGTTAAAGTAAATGTGACTTATGAAATGTAAATGTTAGTTTTAAAGTCTAATTTGAAGCCCTCATAGTTATAAAACACTCCTACAAGAATATAGTTCCCTAAACTGATTTAAATAATAGCACTTTGCCAACTAYGGCACAAAAAGCATGACAAACACATAATCCAGAAAGCTTGTGCTGAACATTTATGTGATCACAGAATAAATAACTCAGGTCTAATCATGTTGCATTTCTGCCTTTTCTTAGAAGGTACCAAAACTAAGTTATGTAAGCCCAGAATTAACGCATTAAGCTATTGAAAAAAATCTTTTAAGTCTAAGATTAATATTGCAGAAGAAATATGGGCATCATCCTCATTTTAGGGAGCTCCTTGTTGGTGCTTTAAGTACAAAAGCGTGTGAATACAAATTGGGACATTTCCATCCATGTTGTAGCAAGGAAGCTCAATAGCCTAAGTTTTTGGCAGTCAGGAGAAGCTTAGCTCCACTTTTTTCTTTCATTCAACAAAAACAATAGAATCAGGAAAAAACATATTGCTCAGTTGCAGACACATCATGCCTTTGAAAATACAACTAAGATCTTAAAGCCATATGGGAATATTATTGTTTAATTTTTTTAAAATTTTTTTTACATCCCAGCCAGCACCGGAAATTTCTATTCTAGCATCTAATTGCAGTATAAACAGTGCATCCAATACTGTGGAACCTAGGGGCAAATAAAGCAATGAAGTAACTGCCCTTCTGTCTGAACAATGAGTAAGCTGTGGATAGTGTGTTATCTGCTTGATGGTAAACTAACTTCACCTGTGCCATTCCCAGTAACAGTCATGGGGAAATCTGTTTGGTTGTTTTGGATATAGTTAAGAATAAAATAAAATCATCATTATGCATTCATCTCTTTAAGGAATTTGGGCAAAATCTAAAAAAAAAAAAGATTCATTTTTATTGGCTAATTCTTTCTGCTCTGAAGACATTTAACACAGATCACAGAGAAGCTTTTACTTATTTTTTCCTGTTCCCTGGGTTTAATATATAAAAGATAAAACGGATATTTAAAAATAAAATTTGTCTATCCAGGTTGATCATATTCATAGAACTTACATCATAAGTGCAGACACACATTTCTGTGGGTAGGTTCTGTGTTTCAGTACACATAATTGAAACTCTCTAGATATTATTGGATAACCTGATTTTTAAAATAAAGTTGTGGGACTTTATAAGAGAAATATTATGTGTATACATGTGCATATATAGTTGTCTTGATAATTTTCTTTTGAAAATGTTACTTATTTTCTATGAACTAATGATGACCAATAAGCCATGAGAACTAAAAGTAAATATATTTTGATGAGAAGAAGGACTTTTCTCTAAGCACTTAGAGCTACGTAAAATGCTTTCAATTCTTTATGCATGCATTTTAAAAATTGGAACTTCTTCCAAAGTCACTTTATGTAATTGTTCTGGTTTAGACATGAGGTGTCCCCAAGAAGCTTGTGTGTGAGACAGTGAAAGAAAGTTCAGAGGTGAACTGATTGGGTTCTGACAGCCTTAACCTAATCAGTAAATTAATCCTTTTGAATGAATTAACTGACTGGTGACTGTTAACAAGTAGGGTGTGGCTGGAGGAGGTAGGGCTCTACATTTTGTTCCTGGTGAGTAGAACTCTTTTCTYTGCTTCCTGATTACCTGGTCCTGAGTTGCTTTTCTCTGCCGTGATGTTCTGCTTCAATTTGGACCAAGTTGGAGTTGGCCATCTATAGGTTGAGGCCTCTGAAAAGGTGCATCTCTAACAAACTTTTCTAAAAATGTTTTTTTTTTTTTTTGGTCACAATGGCAAAAAAGATGACTACAACAATTTACTTCTTCTTCCTTTCARTATTGGGGATTGAACTCAGAAGCATTCTACCACTGAGCTACATGCCCAGCACCCTAGCCCTTATTTACTTAATTGCTCATTCTTATTTTTTTTTCTTTTTTTTTTACAGTGCTGGAGATTGAACCCAGGGCCTTGTGCATGCTAGGCAAGCACTCTACCAGCCCCTTTTTAAATTTTTGAATCACAGTTGTTCTAAGTTGTCCAGGGTGGTGTGAATTTTATGATTCTCTTGACTCATCCTTCTGAGTTGCTGGGATTACAGGTGTGCACTACAATGCCTGGCTACCATTTACTTATTGATCATTATTTTTTCCATTTCCATAAAATATTTTTCCCTCAGGGTTTGAGCTCAATACTAAAATGGCCATTTTAGTTTTTATTATAATAAAAATTATTATGCATTGTTTACAACACTTATGTATAATCCAAACTGATTTTGTCACTTCCATGCATACAAATAGTTTAATGGGGCCTATAACCTTCAAGTTAAATTTTACTTGAGTACTAGTATCACACTGAATGAGCTTCATGAACTGGCTTTCCTCCTACTTTTATGACCTAGGCACTTTCCACTCCTCAATCTTCATAACTTTCTCACTGGCCCCAGAGATGTTGCACATTTGTTTACCCCTGAGAGAATTTCTGTATCTCCTGTTATTGCTCCATATGGTGCTTTTAGTATCATCTGACGCCTTAGTAGGTAGATGTGAAATTTATGAAAGTAGGAACCATTCATTTTTTTTCATTCATCTAATAATAGATGGTGTATAATCAGTATTAGTAAAGAAATGAGTGAATAAAGTATAAACCGGCAATTTTAGCCTTTAGTGATTTCTGTACTAAGAAGTTCATCTTAACACTGAGTTTCCTTGAATGGTATTTTGTTTTTCAAACAAAATGACCTATTATGGGAAATAATAATCTATGGCAAATCCAGCTCATGGATCATCATTTAAATATTTAAAATTGAGCTGGTAAGGACTTTATGGTAATATAAAAATTAAGAAAGCAAATTAGAATATAATGTATATTTTATTATTGAAATAAAATAATGCAAATAAAAATGGAAAATAAATATATTTGGTGCTCTTTCTTTAGTTAATAACATTTAT